AGATTGAGGTTATGTATATGGTTGAATGAGCGTTTTATTATCGGTTTTGGGTTGAACCCCATGTAATTGTGAACCGATGTGAGATTGAGGTTATGTATATGGTTGAATGAGCGTTTTATTATCGGTTTTGGGTTGAACCCCATGTAATTGTGAACCGATGTGAGATTGAGGTTATGTATATGGTTTAGTGAGCGTTTGATTATCGGTTTTGGGTTGAACCCCATGTAATTGTGAACCGATGTGAGATTGAGGTTAAGTATATGGTTGAGTGAGCGTTTGATTATCGGTTTTGGGTTGAACCCCATGTAATTGTGAACCGATGTGAGATTGAGGTAATTGATATATGGGTTGATTTTCGTTTGATTATGGTTTTGGGTTAACCCATCTAATTATAACCGATGATTTTTTTGGGTTGGTCATAATGAAGAAATTCCTAGATCCTAAACCCTCACCGTCGTAAGTCGTAACAGTGATGCCGTTTCTTCCTTCTCGTCCTCCGTCGGCGCCAGAGGACTGATCCTCGGTTCCTCCCTGTCGGCTTCTTCCTTCCAGCTTCCCTCTCTCCCAGCCTCAGTTCTTCCTTCGTCTTCCCTTCTCTACCGGCGCTTTCTCCCCCTCGGCCGTCGAGTCTTACTCACAAGGTCTTGATTCGAAAAATTCCGCCCGTTTCCCATGGCTTATTTCGACGCAAGGTTCTTCAAATTGCTGTATTAACAGGTGCCGGGTTTATGTTTCCCAGGGCGAGCAGTCTTCCCTTCCCGGCTAACGAGGCCAAGCACCGCCGGGAGCTCGAAGCTGCCATAGGGATTGTGGAGCGCGCTTGTCGCATCTGTGTTGACGTAAAATTTGAATTCCGGTTCTGCTTTTCGCTTAGCATATGCTTGGTTCGTGTAGTCCGAGTAATTCTTCTTTCTTCTTTGAAATTTCTTCGATTGGATTGAACAGGTGCAGAGTTCCGTGCGCTCTAGTGAAGCAGCGTCCGTCGAGAAGAGCGACAGTACTCCAGTCACCATCGCTGACTTTGGTGTTCAAGCTTTCGTCAGTTTTGGTAAGCCTACTCTTCTTGACAACTGAAGGGAGTTGGGATGAACTTGTTCTCCACAAGACATCAGACCTTTTGACGATTCAGCATTAAGAATTCTAGTGTAATTCGATCTTAGGATCCATGAGTATTGGAACATTCACGTTGGCCTTTCATTGTAAATTGTAAGATTACATGGTGATCTATGGGTTTGTGGAGCTATTTGGAGCTATTTGATGAAACTTCATTTGTTAAGTGTGTAGAGAGCTTCTTTGTTTGCTTCATTTGGTTGTCTTCTTTGTTCAATTTGGTGGGTGTTGTGAATTGTGATCTTGCTTGGCTTCATTTCATTTGTGAATGGTTGGTTTGTCGCGGAAGTGAAGGGGAAACTATCGAGTTGATATGTGGATTACAGTTACCAGCCAGCCCTTCATTTCAATTGTCTCGTGTTTGCCTCGTGTTTGTTAAATGATTAGTGAAGTGTTCGATTTGGTCGGCTGTGGGTGGTGAATATGTCGATTTCAATTGTCTCTAAACTTCATTTTGTTGCTTGTTTTCAGTTGATCAACTATGGAAGGGTTGATGGATGATATGAGCACAGGCAAGGACACGGGAAATGACTTGAATGTTGGTTTAGATTGGGGAATGAATTATGGAGATGATACCGGTGGTGTTAGAGATAGTGACGATATGAAGGACAATGTCGACAGCAGCGATAGTGATTCTGAGGATGATAATAACACTAACATTGGTGATGATGATAAAGAGAACATCTCAGATGACCATTTGCACAGCTTCGAAACACAGCCACACAGCTCAGAGAACATCAAAGATGCTGCAAATCCAGCCATGGTTCCACCGTACTCGAGTATGTATGACTGGACTTTGCTTGATAAAGTCGGGAATGGTAAGCCTTATTCTAAATGGGAGTCGGATGATGTTGTGGGTTATGAGTTTGAAACCCTTGAGGAGGCTGGCAAGTTCTATTCAACTTATGGTTGTGCCATGGGGTTCAGCGTACGAAAGAACACTCACACATATTCAAAATATGGAGTTAAAAATATGCAGCGATGGGTTTGCTCACGCGAGGGGGAGCGTCTTCCAGTCCACAATGACAAGGAGAACAGAAAGCGTGAACCTAGGCCTGTAACAAGGCTCCATTGTCCGGCTGCTTTCAAAGTCAGTTTTGTTGAGGCAACTAACCGATTCAAGGTGAAGCAGTTTGTACCAACACATTTTCATCCCTTAGCTGGAGCACATGAAGTGCAGTTTTTGAGTTCTCATCGCAAGGTAGATGACGCAAGTAAGGCTCAGATTCGATCACTTAGGGCTGCTGGTATTCGCACCAATCAAATCATGGATTATCTAGTGAATTGTGCAGGAAGCTTTCAGAACTTGGGTTTCACTAAGACCGATGTCTACAATTTTGTTAGTGCGGATCGGAGGTCGGAGATCTTGGATAGTGACAGTGAAGCTGCACTTGCCTACTTACAAGCACGGGCAACTACCGATCCTCGTTTTTATTGTAGATATACAGTAAGTGACGGTGGTGAACTAGGCAATATGTTATGGGCTGACTCTCCTTCACAATTGGATTATAGTCTCTTTGGAGATGTTCTTGTTTTTGACTCGACGTACAAGACTAATGCATATAATCTTCCATTTCTTCTATTCATTGGTGTGAATAATCACAATGCAAGCACTGTTTTTGCATGTGCTTTACTTGCGGATGAAACGGCGGAGAACTACGTATGGATTCTAAATGCTTTTTTACATTGCATGGGTGGTAAGAAGCCAACCGCAGTTATAACAGATGGTTGTTCTTCAATGAGGAAAGCTATCAAGTCGGTTCTCCCTGGATCCCGACATCGGTTATGTTCTTGGCACTTGGGCAATAACGCAGAAGCGCGTGGCCATGCGGAAGGCTTCCGGGAGGATTTCAAACGATGCATGCTAAACTGCAGTTCTATTCCACAATTTGAAGCTACGTGGAAGGAAATTTTGTCCAAGTATGACCTGGAGCACAATGCGTGGATGAAGAAGATGTATAGGCGACGAGCTCTATGGGCCACAACTTACTTGAAAGGTATTTTCTTTGCTGGGATGACTACCTCACAACGTTGTGAAAGCATGAACTCTTATCTAGACAAATTCTTGCAAAGTAAGATGAAGTTGTTTGAGTTTGTCAAGCAGTTTGACATGGCACTTTTGTATAGGAGACAAACTGAGTTACATGACCAGTTTAAGACAATACATACTGATGTTGTTTTGATGACACATTTACATGAAATTGAAAGACATGCCTCTATAGTATATACAAGAAATGTGTTCAGGAGCGTTCGAGCAGAAATTGCGAGAGAAGTTCATTACTATATTACAGACAAGTGTGTGTTGACCAATAAAACAGTTTACACATTGTCACGATTCAAATACCCTGACTCAAAGTGCACCGTGGTCTTTTACACGAGTGGACATGATGTGCATTGTTCTTGTGGCATCTTTGAGTTCTGCGGAATTCCGTGTCGGCATATATTCTGTATATTGAAAGCAGAAAATCAAATGCAAATTCCAAAGTCACTCATTTTGAAGCGTTGGACTAAAGATGCAAAAGAGTTCGATCCCTCGAGTATGGGAAGCTGTCCTACCCAGCAAAATATTAGCAGGTATTATAAATTTAAGGTGTTCATTTAGTTCTTTGTTTACTTCTATTGTGCTTGGAACCAACTACAAAAGTGCTTGTTTATTTGGACAGGTTTGGATTCTTGGTTGGTCAATGTAGTAGAATGTGCCATTATGCTGTGAGTTCGGATGAAGCATTTCATACTGCCAAAGGGTTGATTGAAGACTTGACATTGCGAGTGAAGACAATAAGTGAAGAAACAACCAACAAAACAAATAATGCTAATACGGATGTTGGAGTGAACTCCTCTCAGTTTATTAAGGACCCCCATCCAGTTCGAAGTAAAGGGAATGTGAAGCAACCTCAAGTGAAAACACGGTTGTGCAAGTATTGTAGGCGTCCTAAACATACAATCAGAAATTGTCCGCTGAAAAGAATGGCTGAAGCAGGTGGAGGTGATAGTCATTTCACGCAACAAGAATACAACTTCGAGTCCATAGGAGCAGGTGAAAGCAGCTTTCATGTGGAGACTCAAGAATCTGTTCTACTTCCCAAACGATCCAAGCACAACCTGTAATGCTGGTGTTCGACTTCAAACTACATTATGTTTCATCTTGTAATGTTTGTTTTGTGCAAGTTAGTATCTAGTGACATTGAATGGATCTATGTAATGCTCGTGTCAAGCTTCAAAGAACATTATAATAAGTACATGGGTTAGTTCTACAGGTAAATGTCTGTGCAGACTATTTCTGGAAATCTCACGGCCAATTCTGGAAATCCCACGGCCGTGAAAGAAGGCGTGTTTTTGGATTTGTAATTCTGGAAATATCACGCCCGTGAGATAGGCCGTGAGAGAGACCGTTGATTTGTAATTCTGGACATCTCACGGCCTCTGTACATTCTCACGGGCGTGAGACTAAGACGTGAGATAATCCCAGCTGAAATCCAAAATCACGCCTCATAAATGAAATCTCACGGCCGGGGGATGTACCGTGAGATTGTTTCCATAAAAAGGGGGAGTTCCAGAGAGTTTCACGGGTTGGCGTCGATATTACCACGGCCGTGAGATAAGCCGTGTTTAGGATATGAATCCTGGACATCTCACGGCCCTTTGTACATTCTCACGGGGCGTGAGACTAAGACGTGAGATTAACCCTAGAATTGGAAACACCCTATTTAAAGCTTCCTCTTTTCTACTTGAACCCGACCCCCAACCCTATTTAAAACCCTCGCCGTCGCACTTCGACCCCCAACCCTCTACCCAGTTCGAACAAGCTCCCACCACCACAGGCGAAGCTCTCTCCCAGTCCCTTGCCCCCAAATCCTCCCTGCTCCGACTCCGTTTCGCCGGCCGCCATGATCAAACTTTCCAAGTTCGATACAATCCTTGGACAAGGAATGCAGCAAAGAGATGGAGATTGCAAAACCCTTGACCAAGGTTGTATCTAGCTTGGAAAGTTTGATCTTTCCGGCTTGAGAGAGATCTTTAGGTTTGGCCATTTACTAACAGAGTCGGTGTCTGAGGTGCATTCGTTGATGGAAGGAGGAACTGCAGTTCGTCGACACAGATTGTGGCTGTTGAAAATGATTGTTTTTTTGTTCTCTGTTTTTCTTTCGGTGACTTAGGTCATTTTCAGTTGAGGATCCAAATTCAATAGAGGACTGTAGACTCATTTATATGAAGCTTCGGCTCTATGAATCTAAGGTCTAAATTTCGAAACTTGGTATACCATTGAAGTTGTTCATCTCTTCTTTGTTTGCAGGTGTAAGTTGCAGTAGGCGATGCAACTAATCTAAGGTTGTTTTTCTGCTGGTATTATTGTAAAGCCATCTTATTTTATAATGGTGTGTTGGCAGACAAGGGCATGGATGTTCGACAAAAGTTTGTTCTTGTTTTTGTGATGTTGTGGTGTGCTTGTAAGCAAGAAGGTAGTATGTATTGAAGAAGTAGAGTTTTTGTATATCTAACTATTGTTGTGTTTAAGGAGAGGGAAGTGCAGGGGAGAAGAAGAAAAGGAAGTGGATCCTCGTGGGTGAGAAGAAGATGATCAATCTGGTTTCCCTCTTGGTGGAGAAGGGAAGGAGAAGAAGAAATGATAGAAGCACGTTTAGAGGAGGGAAGGAAGTATCAGGAAGAAGTCTTTGTTTTGAGGGAGCATAGGAATCTGGAAGAGGAAGAAGAAGAATTTCCCCTGTACTCCATAACTCTAATGAATTTGTGTTATATATGTATGTTCAATTTCTTTCCTACAAATCAATTGCAATGTACTCCATAACTCTAATGATCAAATATTGATCTTCTCTTCGATTGTGGGTGGCTAGATGGATATATCTCGTTATTGTTGTTTTTTGTTCTTAGATGGAAACCTCAGTGCTTGTAATTAAATTGTCACGGGCGAGAGAATAGGCCATGATATGGAAATCACTCCCAATTTCACGGCCGTGCGAGAAACCGTGAGATGGAAATATCACGGCCGGGATAAGGAGACGTGAGATGGAAATATCACTCCCAATGTCACGGCCGTGCGAGAGACCGTGAGATGGAAATATCACGGCCGGGATAAGGAGACGTGAGATGGAAATATTACTCCCAATTTCACGGCCGTGCGAGAGACCGTGAGATGGAAATATCACGGCCGGGATAAGGAGACGTGAGATGGAATATCACTCCCAATTTCACGGCCGTGAGACTAAGACGTGAGATGTTCACAGCTGAAATTCAAAAAACACGCCTCATAACTGGAATCTCACGGTCGGGAGATGTACCGTGAGATTTTTTCCATAAAAGGGGGAGTTCCAGAGAGTTTCACGGGTTGGCGTCTATATTATCACGTCCGTGAAATGGGCCGTGAGATTGGAAGTTTTAAAACTAACCTATGCATATTAGAATTTGAAACCCCCCCGCCCCCATATTTTGTTCGAAACCTATTTTCCTCTGTTCTACTTCGACCCCCAACCCTCTACTCCCTCTGTTCTACTTCGACCCCCTCGCCCTCGCCATTGCTCGCCCTCGCCCTCGCCCTCGCCCTCGCCCTCGCTCGCCCTCGCCCTCGCCCTCGCCCTCGCCCTCGCCCTCGCCCTTACTCGCTCGCCCTCGCCCTTGCTGCCTCGCCCTCGCCCTCGCCCTCGCCCTCGCCCTCGCTCGCCCGCGAAGATTCTTCAAGGTTCAGCGGCGACGGCGACCATTTCCGGACGAGTCTCTGCCCTCTGTTCCACTTCGATCCCGACAAGGCCTCTGGTGAGTTCTTCTTAACCACAGCGGCACTCTTCTCTGGTTTCTTGCATTTTTTAGGGTTTAGTTGCCCAATTGTGGTTGGTTTGAATTAGGGTTTTGAATGGTTTCATGTTGTCCATTAAGACAAGAGGGGAAGAATTGAAATCATGTTTTGGTTGTTGTTATTATAATTTGAATGTTGTGATGGAATCCTGGGAGAGAGCTATGCACTTATGGGGTAGTGCACTTGCTCTTCTTGCCCATCTACTACTTCTGGTGTCTTGCCCTTCTGCCCCGAGTGTTGTTCCACCTGTGGTTCTTAAAGAAGGTAACCATAGCTGGTTTTATAGTTGCATATCTTCCCCATCTATCATTTTTTTATGTGCTCTATAAGATGAGGTACATGCCAATGATCCTAGGAAGTTATTACATGTCTTGGTTGCTCTTCTACCTTTGTATAACATACTGGTTAATGCTCATCACCGTTTATAGCTGATGGGTAGTCTCAATTACTCTTCTGCTTCATTTATTATGTTGGTGGATAGAGATCTCTGAGGTACCTGGTGAACTAGATGATCAAGAGGTTGCATAAGATTAAGTACATTAACCGAAAACTGAAACTACCCACAACTGATGCTCTTACTATTTGCTGGTGGCTATAGCAGTACTCGCTTTTTCCCTTTTGCAGTCGGTCCAAGTTTTGCGGGAGAATTGCATTACTAAAGACTAAATGTGCTTAGTTGGTTTTTGTAGGAATGGGGAAAGCTAAACCAAAAACCCGGCAACCAGCAGCCTCACCTGCTAAAAGGAAGGCTCCTTCTTCTCGTCGCCGCCAAACCCAAGAACGAGACACTCCCCCCAAACGACAACGCAAAAACAACCAAGGACGGGCACGCCAACCATCTCCACCACCACCACAAGCGGAGGCTCAACTTGGAGGAGGGAGACTTCACGGCTTCCTCCAATTACCCGTCGAACATAGGAAGGCTTTGGAGCGCTTCCTTCCCCTCCCATTTGGGCAGCAAAGATGCTTTGATTGGGATCTCCTAGAGCGCCTCGGAGCAGCGGAACCCGTTCGCACATGCCTCCGTCTCCCGGCATGGTGTGAGGTTCTCTCCATCAATGAGGTCATCTACCGAGAGCTTACCATTGAGTTCCTCAGCACTCTCTCCATCAAGAGAATGTCCGAGTTTAACCTCGACAAGCCCGAAGACAACATAACTTTTCGCCTTGGAGGACAGGCGAGACAGATGAGCATCACTGAGTTCACAGAGGCACTCCAGATATACCCACCAGGATTTCTCACCACAGGTGGACATGGTTTTATTTCGGAGCAAATATATCATTCAAGAGCAGAATCGGTCAATGCTATGTGGAGAACGGTAAAACAAAACCATGTGGACAAGTCTGACCCTGCCCACTATAAAGGGAATGATCTTCTTCCCCCGTGGCGTATCATCCACAACATTATCGCTCATTCTGTGGCAGCTAGGGAGGGGAGCCCGGGGAGTGTGACCAAGCGGGATTTGAACTTTTTCCTCTCTATGGTAAAAGATCCCCCAATTCATCTTGGTATAGTCATATTGAAAACCCTACAGAAGATCACCTCCAACAAACAAATCAAGACCATCCATGGAGGTGCCTACATCACAAGGCTAGCTCGGCATTTTGGCATTGATCCGGTGGGTTCTCATTGCACCATTGCCCAGTCCACTCAACCAATCTCCCAAAAAAACCTTGCGGATCTAAATTTGTTGTCAAAGGTAAATGTTCCAACCAACACTTTCCTTTTCACAGTGAATGCTAAAACATAACTAGTCGGGATTCAAACAATCTAGGATTGATTTTGTGCAAGTTTTGGATTGCCTACTAATCTAGTTCCTTTTGAACATTGAGCAAATGTAACTAATGCTTCTGATATTGATCATGTCTGTGTTTGGTGGTTAAGGAGAATGGTGTGGTAGGCATTGTTGGCCTCCCTCATCCTGCTCGACCTCTTGCAACAGATGAGGCAAACGCATCGGAGCATGTTGTTCAGCAAATGGTCGAGGAGACTCCGGAACAACCTGCACAACATCACCAAACTACGACTCAAGCCGGACCATCCACCGACAGCTACATATCCCATTTTGAGGCATTGGGTCGGCAGAATGCCCAAATTCTGGAGCAAAATGCACTCATTCTCTCCCGCCTCGATCGAGAGAAGGAAGCTCGACGCTACATCATCGAATGCAACCATCAGATCATGAGGTCCTTGAGGATTGACTACGAACAATTCTCAAGACCTTGGGAACTATCTCCTAGGCCAACCGAGGAGATCAATGAAGAGGGAAGTGAAGAGGATGACGAGGGTAATGACGATGAGCAAAACAAGGAAAAAAATCAAGAGGACATAGGAGAGGAACAAAACAAGGAAAGCAGTGAAGAGGACAATGACACCAATGAGGAAGACAGCAGTGAAGAGGACGACGACGAGGGCAATGGCGATGACCAAAACAAGGGAAAAAATCAAGAGGTCAGAGGGAACGATGAGGAAGACAGCAGTGAAGAGGACGACGACGAGGGCAATGGCGATGACCAAAACAAGGAAAAAAATCAAGAGGAGAAAGGAGGGGAACAAAACAAGGAAAGCATTGAAGAGGTCAAAGGGACCGATGAGGAAGACAGCAGTGAAGAGGACGACGACGAGGACAATGGCGAAGACCAAAACAAGGAAAAAAATCAAGAGGAGAAAGGAGAGGAACAAAACAAGGAAAGCAGTGAAGAGGACAGTGACACCAATGAGGAAGACAGCAGTGAAGAGGACGACGACGAGGGCAATGGCGATGACCAAAACAAGGAAAAAAATCAAGAGGAGAAAGGAGAGGAACAAAACAAGGAAAGCATTCAAGAGGACAAAGGGACCGATGAGGAAGACAGCAGTGAAGAGGACGACGACGAGGGCAATGGCGATGACCAAAACAAGGAAAAAAATCAAGAGGAGAAAGGAGAGGAACAAAACAAGGAAAGCATTCAAGAGGACAAAGGGACCAATGAGGAAGACAGCAGTGAAGAGGACGACGAGGGCAATGGCGATGACCAAAACAAGGAAAAAAATCAAGAGGTCAAAGGGACCAATGAGGAAGACAGCAGTGACTCTAGCGAGGACAATGAAGATGAGCAAATCCAGGAAAACAAAGACGAGGACGAGAACACTAACGAGAAAGATGGGCAGTGAAGATGAGCCAACCAAAGTCCTTAGTACTTAGCTATGTGTGTTTGCTTTTGTGCTTGTATGTTTTCGAATTAGAATATTATGATGCACCAGTGTGGGCTACATGCATCTAAACTTAAGCATTAATCGTGTTATGGATGTTTGTTTTATAAGACAAATGTAAAGCTTTGACTGCTTTTTACTTTTTGTTAACAGGGTATCTCATCTGATATGATGTACAGTTACTAGAGAAGGATCTATGTAATGCTCGTGTCAAGCTTCAAAGAACATTATGACTCATCTTTTCATAAGCTTGTAGTTTTCACAAACAGTATATTATGTTACTTGCACCATTATAATAAGTACAAGGGTTAGTTGTACAGGTGCATGTCTGTGCAGACTATTTCTGGAAATCTCACGGCCAATTCTGGAAATCCCACGGCCGTGAAAGAAGACGTGGTTTTGGATATGTAATTCTGGAAATATCACGGCCGTGAGATAGGCCGTGAGATAGGCCGTGAATGTAAAAACGCACGTCTCAGTTTCCCAGAGGGTTTCACGGGTT